TTCAAAATCACAACAAAATCTTTGGATTTGTAAGTACAGTAAGGCCTCCCATATCCGGAGTAATAGGGACTCCAAAGTATTCGATAATAGAACAATCATCTCTTTTATATTAAATTTCATGTATTTAAATAAAAGACAAGAGATTTTATATCATATATTTTCACTAACTTTGTTGCATATTCACCATATTCAAAATCTTATTATTTCATACACTTTTTTCAATACTTAGAACCAAATGTTTTTGTTTCATTACCATTGTGATGAACACAGTTAGCTTTGTACTAAGGTCTTATGATTAAGATTTATTTGGTTTAATAGTGAAAACTATACATAAATTGTATGTGAATATTGCTACAGAACGTAATTTGGATAACATAACGTTCAGGTTGGATACAGGAGACTCTACTGTAATATTTATTTTTGTATTATTATTTGTATTTTGTGATCTACATCACCAAAATTCCTAAAGACTTTTTAACACTAGATGTTTCTGGTAAAGATAGAGCCCATTTCCTTAATCCAGTCAATAAAACTGAACTTGTAACTAAAATTGCTCCTCCTACCGAATATCTGTTTGGTATTTCATTAAAAAATAAGACTTGCCAGAAAAAGGCGAAAACTATATCTGCGGATCTTGCTATTGCAACAGGTCCTGCTTGTTCCATTTGTAAAGCTAGTGTTAGCAGTATTTGACCCCCAAAACTAAAAAGAGCAAGTGCTACAACCAAAAGTCTGTCAGTACCACATTGAGGTAAACAAAGTGCACCTATAGCCCAAGAAATAATTATTGTCTGAATCAAAGCAAATGATCCAAAATTTGTCATTATTACTGAGAAATGGAGGCCCTTCAAAGCTCTTAATAAAACATACACGTTTGCACCAAAAAGAGTTGCAGAGAAAGCTGCTATAGCACCCCATAAATCTGCATGTTCTGTCTTTCCATGTCCATCTGAAAGAGACTCTACAGTATGTCCAAAGATAAGTGGTGGACGCGTTATTAAAATTACACCAATCAATGTTAAACAGACTGTAATGACATTAAATACCCCACAAGGCTCTTTTAGAAATATTTTTGCAAATATAGCTACAAATACAGGAACAGAAAATACTATGACAGATGCATCAGCTAAAGGCATGTGTCTGAATGCATAAAAACTTAGCATGAGGCCAGTGGTCCCTACAAAGCTTCTTAATATTAACATTAATCTACGTCCCTTTGGAAATGGATGTTCTCCCTTATATATTACAATTGGTATTGCAGGTAGCAATACACCTACAAATCGAAATGCTGCCAATTCCATTGGATTTACTTCTACCAAACCTTTTACAATGACACTGCATAACGAAAAAAATAATGATGATAACGTTGCTAATATTAGGCCAAGATAGGGACATGATTTACATAGTAGAATTGAAAATCGTTTTTGTCTTGCTGCAATATTACTTTCAATATCACTGTCTACTAAATGTTGTAATTCAACGTGTTCTGACATCTCTGAAAGAGAAAATAGATTAGATTACTTGAATTTTCAAATTTCATTTTAAATACTAATTTCTATTATCTTACACTTAAGAAATGATATTAGCACAATAAAGAATTTTATTAGCAACAATTTTGAAAAGGAGTTGTTTTAAATGAGTACTCATAAGATTAATTTTTAAGTGAGTAAAAACTACATAATACTTACTAAATGTGTGGATAACTAATAGATAAATAACCCTTTGACATTTATTATAACAAATAGCATTACTGATAGTAGCTAAACAGTGTGCATAAGAAGACGGACAAATAATTTGTTTATTAAATAAAATAAAAACAATTCGATGCTAAATTTCGTTAATATTAACAAATTTACTTACCGGTATTAAATGTAATAATTGGTTAGCCACAACATAAAGTCTTATTATTAAACCTATGCAACTATTAATATAGTGCATTTATAAATATTATGGAAGACTACATTAACTTGATAATTTCAATGTCACATTCTCGTTCATTACTATTAATAATGCACTTTACATCTTTTTCATTTCTAAGTACATAGTTCAGATGTCACGTTGTTACTTTCGTGATTCAGATGGTTCGTAACCGTAACAGACAGTAACAGATCTTGCAGATCCCAATGAAAGGCAGCTCCTTGATAAATACGTATCTCGATAAAATATTCGATAGTCGCAGAATTTAAATCACATATAGAGTCATTACATGCATGTATATGTATTTCAAGTTTTAAATATATATATTTA